TGTTACTGCTTGAACTCTACACGCAGATGCTTTGAATCTTCTTTGTCATGTACTTTGTGCATTTGCTCAAGCCTATGGAAAATAGGGTTTAAGCAAATACCTACACAGAATTTTCTGCTTGCTGAGGATGGAGGTCATATCACACACTTGTTCTGACCTCTATTTGCAAAGACAAATGTCATAACATGAAAAATTATGGAGAAGCAGGTAGTAAGCCTTCTTGCATTAAACATCTCCCATCAGGTCACTTTATTACAGTCTTCAGTGCAACACACTGTGCAGCTGGAGTGTGTGATCTCCTCTCTGCTCTACGACTGTTGTGACTTCCCTGCATGCTTTTAGCTCCTGGTTTAGCCACCAAAGAAACTATCTCTGCCAGAAGGCTGGTGCTTCTTCCAGAAGCTCTCCATAAACACATCTCCCTAATTATCAGAGGAGATGAGGTGAGATCATCATCAGCCTCATTGCATCTGGTGCTCTCTTCTCTGGTCTGTCTTCCTTGAGCTGCCGTGGGTATTTCACATGAGTACGCTGCCTGATATAACAGAGATGGTGCAATTACTCCTATTACTAACATATATTAAATTCAGAGAGCTAATTTGCAGCTTTGCAGGCTGCTTACCTTCTTACTAAGGGGAGGAAAATAGAATTCCCAAGCAAACTCATCTGGTGAATTGTGCAGAGAACTGAACTTCGGTAGTTCAGTTCTAAGGTGCTCTGCTGCCCAGGGAAATGAACAGCTTGGGTAAATGGAGGCTGAAGTGACCACTGAATGCTACGAAAGCTGTCATGCAGAAATAGGGACTCCCTAAGGTGGTCAGCAGCAAATGCAAGGAAAGGAGCAGGAGGCACATGCTTGATTTTGAATGATAAGACGTCTTCTGTAATTCAAGCTGCTTATCTAAGGCATTGTGTACTTGTCAGGTCCTGCCTGTATTGTAATATTCATTTGTGTATGGGAACTATTGAATCATGGCCTGAACCTCTGGTCACCTGAGGCAAGCGGTGAGTCAGCTGTGGGAGCACAAGTGAAGGCAATTCAGCTGTGTGACCAGAAGGCGTGGAGCCTGGCTGCACCTCTCTTAGACCCCATTTAAAGTCTGACTGCCACCGAGGAAGGATCTCTCTGGAGATTGCTCCTCTTGGAGTTTTTCCTGTGAGCCCAGGATGTGGGTAAGCTTTTCCATTCATTTCCGATTATCCCTTTCCAATGTGATAATCTTTCCAGCTATACGCTTTCTAAAGACCAGCCTAAATTCTCTGTGTATTTGTCAATTATACATCTGTATACTCATTGATTATACAACTTAGCAAAATCTTGCTCCTGCAAGATTTAGATGAGGGATTTGAAGTGCCAGCAGATCCAGAAGTGGCACAAACACACCACAACCAGCTCTTCTGGGGTAGTTTAACTGCCTTTTGATTCTTCCTTATTATAGCAGTAGCAGTTCTTACCATCCCACCATCCTTTGCCTGCAGCTTTGGTCTGTGCTAGCTCTGGGTCATAAAAATTCCTACCGGATCGTAGTTAGCAGATATATCTGCTGAAAGAGAAATGCCTTGTTTGCGAATCCCTATAGGACTGAAATATTGAGTTATTCAGCACTGCTTGGGCAGGCCCAGAGGCAGAAGCATAGGCAACCAGAGAGCTTTACTGATGGGATGTTGGGTGTCATGGGGATTTAGCCAGCTCCGAAGTTAGGCAGTAGCTGAAAAGGGGGCTCTGAGGATTTGCATTCTGAATGAAGGAAGAATCTCTCTGTAGATTTAGTCTGTGTAGCTGTGCAGGATGGGAAACAATGGTGAGCCAGCATTATACGATATTAATTATCTGAGTAAAGTGAAGCATAAAATTCCCCACAGCACTCTTCTTCAGTCTGTTAGAGTTCTTGCTCAAGAGTGGAAGACTGTTTAATTTTGAAATGCATATGTCAAAGGCCTCAAAGATGTGCTGTGTGTTGCATTCCTCCCCTGGAACTCAGAGACCTGACTGACGGCAATGAATGGGACTTCCCATCATGACCTTCTGCCTCCCTGGATTTGGATAGAAGACAAGCATTACACACTGACATACATAAATCTGCTGCAAATTGATTCCACTGCACAAGAACTTAGCTGTTTTCTTTAGCTCCAGTCTCCTTCAATGCAACTGTTTTATTGAACTGGGATCATTCCTGGCACTGAGAGACTTTAGGGGTTAATAGAAAGCTGAATATGAAAGTCTGGACTCCTGCAGATGATGACTGTGGAATATAATAACTAAGCAACTAATAAGCTTTGGAGGATGGTTTAAAAAAAAAAAAAAAGTAAAAATAAAAATAAAATAAAAAAACAAAAACAAACTAACCAGAACTCTTATTTGGAAGACTCATTTTTATGATACAGTCTTTGAGTTCTCTGACTATTTGGTGTTCAGCTGATCTGTTTTACAAACCAGATTTTTGAGAGGATCTGCTTCTGTTAATGTAGTCCTATCTAAGTGCTAGTATTGGAACCTAAAAACAGGAGGGCCCACCTTCATGCTTAAAATAAGATTTTTCTCCTGCACTTTTCCCAGCAGGGGTAAGGATGCCAGCAATGATGGAAACTGAGCCAGTAGGTCTCACTGCCCACGCTGACAGCAGCACCATAATAGGCTGATACTAACAGGGATGAGCAACCCTCTTTCATGCAGATGAACATAGTCTCCATTTTAATACTTAAAAAGTGAGCTCTCTGTGAATGAGTATTTTTACCTCATCATTACCTCTGTCATTGTTACATGTCACCATACATTTTTGTATTAAAGACCTACAGTTGTTCTTTGATGCTTTTATTTGCAGTTGCAAAGCATCAGAGTTCACTGTGCTCAGGTGGTTGTTCCTTGATGTTGTGCTGCTCTGCAGATGCTCCTGCAACATGGAATTGAAGAACTCTAGGACAGTTACTGTCTTGCATACTGTTGGCAGTCAATGCTGCTTGAAAAATGTATGTTGTTTTCCTATGGAATGCACGTAATTCTTGTAACTTTGGGTTCTGGCATTTATCCTCATTTTAAAGTGTCAGTGAAGCACCAAGAGGTTAGTCTGTGTGTTCAGGATTTGATTGGCACCAAAAGGCACCAGAAGTGTGTGCACCTTGTTGCTGAACACTAAAAGAGGGGCCTCTAGTTACTGGAAATGAGAAATGGTGGCTGAGTATTATCAGAGCAAGCGGGAGCAATAGAAATTAGATCAAGGAAAGAACAGGAGGCTGAAGGAAGGCTGAAAACCGAACATAAATCCCTTTCTAATGGATTTTGATTGAATTTTGGAGCTCAATGCTTTTTCATGGAGTAGGCCAAAACTAATGCCTAGAAACAATATGTGACCAATCTCAAACTTTAGGGATTTAGTTTCTTAGAGAAAATGAATGATTGATGATCTTTTTACCTATGTCAATCAATAGTAGGATATTTTTTGCAAAACCAGTGTTACTACTGCACATGTTCCCGAAAATCCACTTGGCTTCAGGAGCTCCAGTATCTGCTTTAATTAATAATGATGTATCTCTTCAAAACAAGAATAAACACCCAGGCACCACTATCAATTCTTAGAATGAGTTTTTGAACCATCCATTCAATACTAACTAAATACAGTGTGAAAAAATAAAGAAGAAACGTGTTTGTTTATATTCCCTCAGCCGTGAAGACATTATTCTGTGTTACATCAAAGATTTCCTTTCAACTTCACCTGATCTAAAAGGTAGAGTTTCTCCTGACTATGCAAGTCAGCTGAGAAAGTGGCTGTATTTTATCAAATTCAGCTGCTCTTTTCCTACCAAAGCATGTTCAAAAACCAACAGATCTATTTTTGTGATTCATTGCAGTCCATTTTGCTGCTGTTCCACTGAAGGAAGTATAATTTTTGTAATTACTCAGTAGCAAAGCTATCCATTTGTTTAGTGGTGAAAAAGTTCCAGTCATCTCTATGACTAAGGTTGGTAAGTGGAACCAGAAGGAAATTTTCTTTGTAAAAGGGAATGGTTTGGAAAGGCCTGCATAAAACTCTGAAGTAGCACCGCAAAAAAGGAAAGGCTCTACTATGAAGTGAGACAAAGATTGCCTTTTGCAAATGTTGAGGCTTTTGTTTTTAAGTTATTTGGGGTTGCATTGATCAACATCGCTTTTATTATCAGAGGTCTTGAAATGAAAAGGGTCTCAGAATCCTACATGGATGCTTATACCCACCTCAAAGGAATGATAAAGAAGTCTCAGAATATCCCTTCCGGCTGCTCCCTGTGTTTTAGAAAAATTTGTCTCTCATCGGATTTAGTTGTGACCATGAGAGGAGAACCCAGCCAGCATCCTCCTGCCTGCTCTGTGACTCCCTCCCCTATTTGCTGAGCAGCTGCCTCTATAGCAGTCTCAAGCCCAAGGGCATGCTACCGCTTGTCAGGGTACTTAGTTTATAAGAAGCCTTCCTTCTTGGGCTGTTAAAGAACTGGAGAACAAGAGAGAAAATGTCTGAATGAGTTCACCTTTTTAGAGGTTCGCTTTCTTATCCCTTCCTTTGGGTGCTTTTGTGATAAAGAAGGTTCTAGTGACAACCTGCCTTCCTCCAGCCAATACATTCAGTGAGTTCAAAATCTCAAGCCTTTCAAACTGATCTAGGATCTAGTATAGCTGTTCCCATTATCTTCATTCTAAAGGAAGACACTGAGTTGTTAGAGGTGAGGGAGTTGACTCAGTGGCCTGGCAGCAGGATTTGATGATGTGATCTGCAGTGCTCCAGGTGTCCTGGTGACTGAGGATGTCCAGGTACTCCAGATCCGTAAGCTGAAGCCTGCCAGGCCTCTCGTGGGCAGGGGACCACAGCATGGGGCACTGCGCTAGGGATGCTGATAGCTGGGGCCCGCTAGGGCTGTGGCTTTGTCTTGTGGTGACATGGGACTGGGCGCAGAGGCAGGGCTGCAGCCTGGGACACACTTGCAGCACTGGATGGCAGTGTTACACAAGTTCAAATGGGTTTCTTTTCTTTCAGGTTTGAGAATAAAGACAAAAATACATCACACGTGACTGGAAGTGTGTATTTTTCAGAGGGACATCTGTAAGTACTGTTGTGATGTATTTATTGCTCTTCCACGCAGACTTCCTTCTCCCACCCCCCTCTCTCCCCTCCTTTTTTTCCCCGTGACATTCCCATGCTTTCTTCCCTCCCAACCCCTTTTCTCAGTGAGTACTGCAGTGTTTCCCATGCCTCTTCTGAGCTCGCTGGGCACTGGAAAGGTCGCAGAGCTAATCAACAAGCTTTGCCGCTGAAAAAGCAATATATAAAAACCCAACAACCATAAAACTAGTGAGAACAGTCTCTTCTCTTCCTCTCAGTTTTTTTTAGCTTTAGGCATAAAGGACCAGGAGGAAGAGAGCACATTGGCACCAGCACAGTGTACTTGTATTCAGCAATAAGCCTGCCAGAATCCAATATACTGTAGGGAAAATATGGAATTTGTACAGCTGACGGTTCATTCCTGTTATGGGGTTTGCCTGTTGCTAGTAGTGGAACAGAGCAGTGGTTCCAGGGAGGATGCTAAGCAGAGCAGTGCATGTGTAATGCCAGTACAAACACATGCGATTGCACTCTTACTCCAGAGACGTGTGTGCCACGTATCTTTGGCAGCAAGCTGTGAAGCTGGAAAGGCAGTTGTGAATACGCGCTGCTACGGGTTTGTTCCACCCACTTGGATCCTGAGCTGGGATTTTTCTCCTGCTTTTCATCTCATTTCTCAGTGTAATACCAGGGTCACACTTTAATACAGCAAATATAATTAGAGTGCAGTTACACAGTGTGACTCCATTTCATGATACCTGTAATTACCATCCACCCATAGCTAGGAGGTTCGTTAATTTGGTGAATAAACTGCTTATTATCAGACTACTTTCTGAGTTAATATCTCACATTTTAATTGCGATGGCACTTTTTGCACATATATCTAAGGGCTTACTGTGTAACTGTCATTTGCATCACACTACGTTTGTGATTGAGTTCAGTCTGTTTCCAAACATATGATATTTGTTTGCACAGCAGTAGTATGTTAGGTCAATTCAAAAAGGTAAATCAGTACTCACATTAATAACTCACACCCACGATTCCTATGGGGTATATCCCTGCCCTGCTGAAGCATGAAGGATTTTAAGGAGTGTTCTGGGGTTGGCTCTTGTTTTCACTCATCTCCTTGTTCTATGTACACAGCCACAGAGGTGAACCAGAACTGCCTTTATTACAGCTGGCTGACAAGGCTCACAAAGCACGGCAGGTCTTTGGGATCAGGAGAGAAGTCATGGAGGACGTAGTTGGTCTCCTTGCAGCCCCTTCCACATGGCCATGGGTATCCCTCTGCTGGATTCAGCACAGCGTCCATTCAGGTGTTATAGCTTCACATTTCCAATGCTGACATCAGTTTGAATTAATTTTTTTTAGTTTTAAGTATAAAGTCTGTGCAAAGAAGAAATTGCTACTCAGTTTATATTTCTTTGTGGGTCTGGGACTGTAGGATTCTCAGAGGACTTTGGAGTAGGCAGGCACTCACAGCATTTTAAAATCCATTGGGAACTGAGCCCCTACATGTGTTGGGACTCAGTACTCTCTGTTCACCCTCAGGGCTACAGGAGCAGGAGTCACAAACAGGTATGTGCCAGAGGTCTGGGATGCAGCCTGGCCCTTGGCTCAGTGAGGATGAATGCAGGAGCAGTGCATGCATGGGGCAGAGGATGGAGCAGCGCTGGGAGAGGTGCCCCAGCCAGCTGCCAATCCATCTTTGTATGGGTACAACAATTAGGATAATTATAACTCTTTGAGTAAGAGGCCGTTTGTGTGCCTTTGCTGTTTATATGTATCTAGAAGGAAATTGCAGACAAGTGCCTGCCAAGTGTATCCCTAGAAATATTTTTGAAACTGTCATCCACAGGCTTTGAATACCAGAGGCTGTTTAATCTCTCGCCCACTCGCTTTCTCTCTCCGAGCCCCCACCTCCCACTCTCTGGCCTGATTTCTGTAGGGAGAAGAGTTTAGTGTTTTATCGCAGTGTAAAGACTTAGGCAGTTTTGTTTGAGGACAGAATCCAAAGGTGTCACTGCTGGGCAGCCCCTACTTGTGGACAGAGCAGCACCAGCTTAGTGCAAAGCACAGGGACCAGTGCATGGACTCTCTGGGACACTTTCAGTTCCTAGGGCAAGTGGCTGGTGTGCTCATCTGCTCCCTCTCACAGGGTTGAGAGAGACAGAGAACAGTTTGGGTGCGAGTAGCTGACATTCTGCAGAGACTGAAATCTGCTATCACTGAAATGGGACTTGCCATCACTGGCGGTACTGCTCTTGGTGCACCATATTTTACTTTTAGAGTGACCTTGCAGAAGTGGCCCATTGCAGTTAATGTGTATACTGGTCCTGTTAGGTACTGCCACTAGTCCTGTTGCCTTTTGGATGTCCAGGACAGAGAGGCAGCTGGATTTTTGCAATGGATGTACTTCCTTTCTGATCAATCATCTTCTCTATTCATGATTTGCATTCCAGTGACTGTTATGAGTGACCTGTGCAAATGAAATCCAGAAAGAAACCTGCAGTGAGATGTGTAATGAAACAGAGTAATGTTCACGGCACAAACTTACCTAAAAATCAGTTGAAACTGTACGAACTGATCTCTATACATCTCTGTCCTGCAGTGTGTGGATGAACCTCTGTTGTTACCAAGAACAGAAAACTTGAAATCATCCAGAACTCCTTATGTTCACCACAACTGAAGCAACTGCAGACAGCAATGCTGAACTGTCAAACCAGATTATAGAAAAAAGCAAAGAAGATACGTCTCTTTGGTAAGCAGAGGTAGGACATTTCTCATGTGTCTTTCTGACTCCAGTTTTAAAAAGCAAAACAAACCAGCCCCATGTGTACTCTTCTTTGCACGTTTCCATCCCTTATTCAGGACTGATGCTCCAGGATGTAGTGATTTTTCCTATGTTTTCTCTAATCCAGTGTTTGGATTGTTACTGTCAATAATTTGGATTCCTGGGGGTAGCAGAAGATTCAAACCCAGAGGCAGAGTTGCTGTGCTGTAGGCATCTACAGAGTCTGAAGTGTGTGGTGGACAGTTAAAAGTACAATCCACCTACCCTTGGGATCCATGGGGTTCTTCACTTAATAAAGCAGATGTACCAAGTCAGACTGAATGGGGGTGAAAACCTCTTAAAAAAGAGGTTGACTCAGTCATCCTTTCTTCTAATTGGGTTATTTTAAATACGTCAGCAAAGAATCAGATCATTTCTTATTCTCTCTTGATTATTTTGTCCTTTGTGTGTGTGTGTTTCCTTACTGAATTACCTAAATTACTGTTCACCTGTTGGCAACTTCCAAGTTTCTAGGTGAAATCTAACAGCTGCAGATCTTGGATTCTTAATTGGTTACAACTTACAGAGAGCCAAAAAAAATAATCAAGTTAATGGTCTTCCTGAGGAAGGGACTAATTTGCTCTCATGAGTGGATATATAAACACTAATTATATTCTGAAAGGCTTTTGCTATTAAAACCACATTAGGAGGAATACGTAGGGCTTTCTTCCTCACCTTCCCACACAAGTGGGCTGAAAATTGCCCTGACCTTTGTATCCTAATTCCTGTTTTCTTTTCAGGTTATGTCTGGCCTGATGCTGGCCCGTTCACTGAGGACAAGTTCTGTATTTAGAAGAGAGGTTAAGCTAGCAGGGGACCATTTGTGTTTCATGGTGATCTATCCGGGGCTGTTTTCTGGAGGTGTGAACTGAGGCTTCCCTGCTGAAGCCCTGACCACAGGTGACAGCTGAGGGCAAAGACACTTTCCACAGTGCTGGTTTTTATGTGTTTGGACAAATCAAATTTAGTAACTACCAATTGTCAGCATTTGTGCTTTCCTTGAGAGTGAAGTGAAAATCAAACAAACAATCCCTGTGAGTTCTTCTCTGATAAGTTTGTATTGAGCAGGTTTAAAAAAAGCAAAAACAAAAACAAAAACAAAACGGTGGTTATTTGCCATTGGGGTTAATGAGCCCTATGCTGGGGAAAGGCAGTGCAATCAGGACAGGCAGCAGTATTTGTGTCCTCACCCAGCTATCATGCACTGCTCCAGCCAAGTGCCACAGCAGTCTCTCAGCTGATGCTGTGCCTTTTCTGGCTATGGGGACCATCTCTACTGTGGCTGAAGATGAGAACAGAGCTTGAAGTTCTGCAGAGTGTCAAAGTTGTACTGAGTCCAGAGCAAGGAGGCAGATACGCAGCATGTCTGCAGGCCATGGGAGCAGGATAAGGCAGCTCCTGTAAGAAACCTGAACCTTGGAAAAAGATTGTCTAGCCGTAAAAGTCCTATTGCTCTCTCCGAGATCCTATGTTCATTGTCATAGGATGAGTAGGACAGTAGTATGTGTTTTTTTTCCCAGCTTTTTAGCTCTTCTCGGAGTGACAAGAAACACTCAGAGACATAACTCATTATAAAGTCTAATAGAGGTTATGTTTAATTAATCTCCAAATAAATCCAAATGAAAGATAACTGGGTCTGTCCCTCTAAGCAATACAGAATGTTAGAAAATGGATCTATATTTCACATGGTTTTTTATTTACCCATTTTGGCAGGGTGACTGGGAGAGCCTTGAGTGAAAAAGACAGATAGTGTTTTCTTTTCCCCAGCCACTGAGGTGTTGCAGAAGTATTCCTGTCCATCATGGCAGCAAAATGAGAAGAGTTCCTCTAAAAATTCCTTTATCTACAAGTCTGATATGATATGGAACATTAGGGTTTCATAGTATGTTACATCTTTCTATGGCATTACAAACTGGAATGCTCACATAATCTTACCAAGTATGGAAGATTTATTTCCTATTGAGATACAAAGCAGGGAATTAGTCTCAGGAATAGTTAGTTACAGCTTTTCTGAGAATGATCGCGTTCCCTCATCCCTGAAACATCTAATGGAGAGACTACCAGTAAATTTCCTATTGAACTCCCCCTTTTAGATGGGAAGACTCCCACGTTGCTTTGCAGTAGCTGGGATGCAGAGGTTCAGTTTCTGTGTCAGGCACAAGCTTGTAACACCACTCACAAACATCCACACTGGTTTTTGGGAGTCACAGCTGCTGTTCCCCATTAGGTCAGGAAATGTGTGGGATCTGCAAGTCTGTGCAAGGTAAGTGCTGTTCTGGCAATGTCCAGGGCTGTGACACCACTGGAGGAGCTGCAGCACAGCGCAGCACTGACATGGCGCTGACAATCCTGTCTCTGAAGTCCCCTTTTCTTCTGCCCCCATCTTAGTTGCTCCTGGCCTCCTCTTCACACCTGGCAGCGAAAAGTCCTGATGGTGCTAAGAAGCCTGGAGTTAGGAATCAGAGTGAAAATGATATTCTGAAAGGGTTTTGGAGTACAGATAGCAGAAAATATACAGTCACTGCTACTGGGAGGTCAAATACAGGTGCATCTGAAAACACGCATCTTCTTCCTCCAGGATACAGCCTTCTGTTCTGGCTGCCTGTCAGAAAGAGTCCATGCAAACACAGTATGGCCTCAACACAGGTAATAACATCATTTGGAGAATGACAAGATTTCCATTTCACAACAGATGGAGAAGGTAAAGCCGGCATATTTTACAGAGAAGACAAGTTACGGTGCATCATATGGTTTACACAATGCTGAGTAGTAAAGTATATTTTGGGCCTGTGCAAGCATTCTGCATGCAGGAACATGGGTGTGCTGAAAGAAAATAGAGAATTAAAAAAGCAGTATTTTTTGCATTTCATAACTACGGGAATTCTTTCCATGAGAGGTTCTTCAGGAGGTCTGTGGAATTTCAGACCAGAGATCACTTTAGGCAGTCCCAGTTATTTTCCTTAGGATAGTTAATAACAGCAAACAATGCTGTGACAGAAGAGTTTGTACCAGGACCCCCACCTCCATCTCAAATAAATATCTTTGAGTTGAGCCAAAATGGAAGTTCCCAGAGATGTGTTTGCATTCTCCAGAATTTCAGTATCTTTTACTGAGTTGTGCTTTGTGGTATGTAGAGTAACATGCACCATGCTTCAGAAAAAGCCTTCCTGCATCATGGGGCTTAGAGTCATCTCCTCATCCCATTTATCAGTAGATAAAAGCACATCTCTGGTATGTGGGAGAGGAGAAGATGAGAAAAGGATCATGTGAGGACTTTGCTATTCTTTTTTCTGTTCTTATTGCAGGAAAGTAGTTTTTGAGATTTTCTTTGGTTGGGCTCCCTTATGGCCCTCATTTGTAACAGCATGTCATCTCCAATTATAATCTAGATATTTTTCTGTCCAAAGCAAAGAGAGAGAAAGTGTTGGTAGGAGGACATGATGTATGGACTTGCTTATATCCTGAAAAGGGGTATGAACTGCGAGGGTTTAGGTTATATTCTGAGTAGACAAGAATTTTATATTTATCTGTGTATATTTTGGAAATGTTCATGCTGTGTCACCTCCCTGTTTGCAGCTGTGCAGTCAGACCACCAGAGACTTCAGGGACTGAGTGATCAAATTTGTCCATATTGCTGTTTAGAGGCTTAGTGAATTCACCTGCACTGCTTAGGGCAGACCAGGTCAGGTCATTCTGCCAGGTATGCCAGACTTGTGAGTGAGATCCCATCCCCAGACACAGCCTGTTAAGTGATGCAGGGTGAGAGCTCTTCACCCTTTTAGCAAATGCTTGTCATACCAGTGCCTACTCTCGTCAGTCTATTTCTGATAACATTAATGCTTAACGAGAGCTTCCCACTCTCCGTTTTTATCTCCTTTATACACTTCAGTAGTATTTCTTGTTCACTGAGCCCAGAGCTAATGATGGCACTGACTGAAGGAAGAATAATGAGGACTGTTGTGTACAGCTGAACATCACAGACAAAAGGTAGAAATGTGTGTGGGAGGATATGACTTCTGTGTTTACAAACTTTATTTATGTATTCCATATACTTACGAGTTATAGTTCCTACATGAACTATACATTATGAATTGAGAATACCAACTCTGTAAAACTGGATCCAAATCTGTGTTTGGGAACACTATTTTAAGTTCTGGGCAGTAGAGAAAAAGAGAGTGTAAGAGCATCTGGTGTCAGACTCGAGACGTGCGCTGCTTGTTCCTCTAACACAAGCAGAGTTAGCAGCTTGTAAGCAAGATGCCAGTCTCCTCATTATTTTTTCCAGAGAAGTGCACAATTCCATATTGACACTGTGGGAGAACTAACTTAGAGGATATTTGTGCCTCAGTCACAGAAATTATGAGAATACAAGTGCAGGTTGGAAAACTGAGCTCTGCTTACAGATAGAAAATATCACAAATTCAGGGATCCTCTTTTGTCTGAACTTTCCCACATTCACTGAGGTCTGTGATGTTCTAAAGTGAAGGGCTGGGCTGGTTACTCTTGTGAGGAGTGGCTGAAGTCCTGACGTGGCTGGGTAGGCAAGGAGAAATCATAGAACCGTTAAGGCTGGAAAATTCCTCTAACCACCCATCACCACCAAGCCATGGGGGGACAAGTTTTATAAGGACACCGAGGGGCAGAACTGACCCTTGGTGGTGGGAAGTCGTGGACAGAGAATCACCTGAGGAAAGCAGGCAGATTGTGCCAAAGGAGAATGAAGGAAGGAAGGAGTGGTGCCCTTGAGATTGAGATACGCAAGTTAGTGAAGTGCAGAATGACATGTTTTTCAAAAATAAAAGGTGGGAAAAATAGTTGTTGCAAATAGCATTGTGTTTTGCTTCCCAAATAAAGGGATAATGAGAAACTGAAGTTCTGCTGGAACACAGCATTAGTCATGGTGTTTAGTTTTCATGAGACTGTTAATTGCAGCAACCAGTAGCCTACATGCAATGCTTCAGGCCTGTGAAAGCACAGGTTTACATAGAGAGGTACATATTTCTTATAGTAAGGATGTTGCAATTTTCTCCTTAATAGCAAGGCTGGACAAAAGGCAAGGAGCTGATAGGTAGCATATATGGATTTTCTGGATCAGCAGCACTTGTTCAAATTTAAGGCAGAAGCACTGAAGGAAGAGCACGTGAGGAGACTGAGTAAAATCTGATATGCACTGGGGATTTTTTGTAGAAGGGCAGTATTTACATGCATGGTAAGAACCAGATGGCAAGACACTTCTGAAAAGATGATTTTACTCTCCTTCTTATTTTGCTTGCTCTGGCATTTTTCAGCAGCTGCTGTGTTCTTTGTGTAAATGAAGTTGTGGGATTGAGAATGGGCAGCTTAAGGTGACAAGGCATTCCCACATCTGCTATAACCCCAGATAGTGTTTTTCCCCGAGAATCTCATTCTGTCTTGGACAAAATGCTTGCAGCGTAGAGATGTGTCCAGCTGCTATATTAAAAAAAACAAAAAGATAATTTCCATCTATTTGAAACCCCCTGAGAAGGCAGTCTGTTATACTGTTGCTGAAGTTTTCTTCTTAAACTAAAATATCTGCATAAGAAATTTTCATAGCATGCTGGTGCATATCTAGCTCTTGTAGCCTCTGAGATGTCATAAGTTACATGTATAAAGATGTTGCAATAGTTGGTTATTTTTGCATTTCTCTTTTGTGTTTGCCTTTGTCATTTTCATAGCTTTCCTCTAAAAATATGCAAAAATTGTTGTTCATTTAATATAAGAAAGAAGCATTGAGCCCCACAAATCACATGTGCCATGGTCCACTCTGGTCTTTTTCTCTTGGTTCCTGCTCAGGTTTAGAAAACAATCCTGGAGGTTAATGGTTTGTGTGGGAGCAAATCCCTCTGATTAGAGTCCCTTGTCTGAGTCTCTTCTCCCGTTTCCATCCTTAGCAGCTGTCTGATCTGGTTGTCTTGGCTCTCGTCAAGTGAAGGAGCAGATAGAATCATCTCCATTGGATAACATATCCCATCATCAAATCTGTATTCAAAACAAGTGAAACTAATTGCCCTGTCATGGCTGCAAGGGAAGTCTAGGATGTTGTCCAAAAGGAGGACCTAACTTCTGGCCTGGCAGAGTTCGTAAGGTCGCTTAGTGTAGAGGAGGATTCGTATTACTTCTTTCTGTGCACCATCCCCATCAGGCAACACTGTCCTTCAAGGAGAATGAACAGAGTATTCTTAGCTTTGTTGGGAATTAATTTCTGATAATCTAAATCACTGTGAAATTGACTGGAAGATTAATGTACAAACTGGTCTTGCAAAGACCAAACAAGTGCAACTGCTTTTAGGAAGATGACTGCCAGGAAAGAGTCCAGGATGAGTTTTGTCATGGAGCACAGGATTAAAAGCTGTAAGTTAAAACAGAAAACTATTTAAATGAACTAAAAATAGATGACTAGAAACGTGTGGGCAGAGGCTTATATGTGGAGGATAGAAGGTAAGAAATATGCAGAGGTAATGCTTTGCATCTAAACTGAGCTAAAATCAAATAGCCTTTGAAAAAGGCAGTCTCACATCCCTGTTCCA